CTGAATGCTCGATAAAAATTTGCTGCCAAGCTGAGGAGAAACATTTTCATAGGATTCACTTGTTGGCTTTAGACAAAACAACAGACATCGACCTAAACCTGGTGGCATTGGTGGCCTAGTGGTAAGGCCACCGGACTTGTAGTTGAGTGATTGCGAGTTCGGGGGTTCAAGCCTTAGCTAAGTCTGACGTTGTGTCCTTGGGAAAGGCACTTACTTTACACGAATTTCCCACATAGCTCGGTCCTTTCGCAGATGGACGGTAAACTTGGAGGTCTCACCTCTTAAATAAGCTAGTAGTGTTGATAGGGGTGTTAAACCTATACTATTTCACCATTTAAATCAATTTAAATCAAAGTTGAAGACAATGTTTTTCAGGAAAGTATATTTATAATGCTGAAACTCTATATCTGAAATGTCTGTCAGTTTTTCTTTTCTTTTTTTTTTTTAAATTTATGCATGTCGTTGTGGTACTGAACTTTAGAGTTTTTGTGGTGTGTGTGTGTGTGTGTGTGTGTGTGTGTGTGTTTGTGGGGGGGGGGGGGGGAGGGTTTGTGTCACCGAGCATTTTTGTGGATTCTGGCGCATTATAAATTCATTTATTATTATTATTACATGTATTTTTCTTTAAAGACCTAAATCTACAGAAATGCCAAAGTACACTTCTATACAGTCGACTTAGCATTAAAAGGAACCATGGAATTCATGTACAGAAATTTGATGCAGTCCAAACATGAAGCGTCTGAAGAGATCTTCCATGCTGATGAGAAAATGCAAGAACTACGAGGCAAAGATGACTCTACCTGACTTACTTTTGTTTGTTTGTTTGTTTGTTCGGGTACAAGGATGCACATCGACCCAACAATGGTCATTTAGTACTGGGAAAACGTAAGACAGACAGACAGACAGACAGACAGACAGACAGACAGACACAACAGAGAGAAAGTAAAGAAGTAGGACCTAACAGTGGCACCCTCCAACCACCCGCTAACCTGACTTTGAGGAGAAAATCTTTTGAGAACAAAATTTTCCATTGCTGTTAGGTTTTGAACCCAGGACCTACTGAATGAGACGAACACCGTAACTTCTAGACCACAAAAGCCCCCGGACCGCATATGTCTAAGACGAGCACCTTTCTCCTGGACAATTGGTGGTTGCTTTGGACAGGCTTGACTGTGTATAAGGATGCATGTGTGTTAAAGGGTTATATATGAGCAGAGCAATCAAACTGGCAAAATACAAGATTCAAAAGAAAATATGCAGTAATGTAGAAAAACTCTTTATATATAAAAAAAATAATAACCCTGTCCGAAGTCAGTAATCCACACAGAAAGTTAGGAATGGGAGCACCTTAGCGAGCTTCTCTGATGACTTGCACACAAAAGAGAGAGAAAAGAAAAAGAATCTTCCCATCCCATAAATGGCATGTCATAACAACAAAATATACTAGAAACATCTCAGACAAAAATTCAGATAAATATAAGGTACACATTTTTCTATAGTACTTGCTAAATGCTGATTACAGTTTGGTGTGGGTAAATACAAGCCATCAGCATACAAATTGTTATTACTACAAGGAAAAAAGTACTATAAACAGACAGAAGTCAGAAGAGAAGGAAAAATTAAAGGAAACTTGCTAGTGTCAAACTCTAGCTACCTGCACACAATAATGAGTGACTAGCTAGAAAATAACTCAAAAGTAAAAACAACCTATACCACACTTATTGGAACTAAAATTACAACATAATGACATTTGCATTGCCGGTACTATTTGGTCGCTTTTGAGGACGAGAGGGCTAACCCAGATTTTGGGGGCTTCTAGAAATCTTGACCTACACCAAAAGTGGGCATTGCATTGCCCTACCTATAGGAGAAGTATGGTTTCATTGGTGTGTATATTTGTTTGGTTATAGAGAAAACTTTCCTAGTCATTAAGGGGCAAAAACTTTACCTTCAATTTTCTCAAAATAGCACTTTTCGGGATAGCCCCCTCGTGCCTACGACCATTTATCTGTCCCCATGGTTTTATGCACCCCGAATAATTTAGCAAAATTTGATAATTTTTTGCACAATTTCTGATTATTTCCTTTATCATTCTTTGTTAAAATTAACAGTTCGCATAATTTCACATTTTTGGGCTCAGTTTGCATAATTAATTTCAAAATTTTTCTTGCATAAAACGACGGGGACAGACTTACTCAGCTACTCCGTTCAAAGTGCTCATGTCTGTGTGAACACTATGGTTGACCCTTAATATTTGGAAGACTCTCTTGTTTACTGAGACACACCATTCAAGTTTCTAATTTATCACATAAATGTTTTCATTTCCAACGTATTATCTTCAGGACAGTTATAATTACTGTTATCATCTCAGAGACAAACTGTGCTGAAGAGATTCACAGCATGAAATAAAAAGCAAAAATGCAAATATGGAGACACAAACTAGTAAAAGTAAAAGTGTGCTTTCTCCCCAGTCCCCCCCCCCCCAACCTCCCCCCCACCCTATTCACATTTGGAGAGCAAAATAAACAGTGTATAGATACTAAAAGCTATACTCTAGTAGGGAATTTGATGTTTCAAAAAGGCTGATTTGGGGTAAATTGTACGGAGAGTCTACTACCTTATGGGCCCCGAGCATTAAACAAGCTGTACCCTTCTGTGCACCCAAAACCATACTCCAGCTTGCAGTACGGTAGTGCAAATCAGGCGATTCATCGAAGGGAGCTCAGTGCACTGTTCTTTAAGGTTGGAGAAAGGGCTTAGAGAATAAAGGTGGCCGAGTTTAGAACTCAGATTTTGATTATCTTGGCCTCAGAAAAATCACTAGACAGTTTAGTTTTAGTAAGAGTATTAGTACGGCACTTGCAACACAATAAGGTCATATAAGTGCCGAAGATTAGAGGTGTTACAAGAGAGTAACAAATATAAAAAAAGAAGGAGGAGAGATCAGGGGGGATAGATGTTTGATAGGACATAAGGAGCAAACCACACCAGAGCACCCGCCAACCAACCACCCACACTCACTAAACAGACCCCAAGTAGCACTCACTGGGATAAAGAAATAGACAGTACTCCTTGCATTATGAAAAGCTCCAACTGTTTGAGTCTTGCTGAGATGTGACAACATTACTCACCGGCATGTGTTAGAAAACATTATGAGCAGGAAAAGGATGATAAAGAGGAACAAAACGAAGAGAATGCTTTGCTTGATGAGAAATAAACTGGAAGATAAGAACAACCTTAAATGTACTATCTTTTCAAGTTTTCTTCAGGTATTAGAACAGTATTATGCATATATAGATTGATACCTGACAAGAAAATATCTTAATACAAAACAACAATGATAATAATAATAATAACAAAAATGATATTAATAATGAACATATTTCTTGGCGATGCATTAACAGAAGAAGAAAACACTGCTTAATCTGTAAACACAAGAACATGGCACTCTTTATCAGGTTGATAAATCTGTTTCTAATCAACAGCTCGGAACAGCTTTTTGCCAATCAGTGCGTATATGTCATGCTTTTTTCTAAAGATCTCAGGACCTAGTGCATACTTCAGACAAGACATATTCAACAGAAGTAAGCAGTTATAATACCACAGCAGTCAATTGATTTCTCTGTTGACTTCAATATTTTACAATCCAAAAAATTATTGCTCTCTGAAAGTTTATTTCTACAAAATAAACATATATATATGTAAAAATTTGCTGCATATATATATCAATATATTTTATCAAAAGAAAGCAGTGTGAGCCACAGCTGAAATAGTATAAAGAGACAAATTATCGTGGTGTTCTCTTCAACTGCGATGAAAGCCTCAAATCTCTATAGAATACTTTAACCCTCCTAGAGATGACCGCCGACTAAATCAGCCATATCATATGTGAGGCATCAAGGTGAAATCAGACGCTTGTCAAAATAATGAAATCAAAGAAATCATCATTTTTCTGTCAATTTGGCAATTTTTATCAAATTTTTATTATTTTTGGTTCAACACCTTTTAAAACCATTCAAAAACACATCACTGTGCAGATTTTATGGAAAAATGTTTATTTAAGGCCAATAAAATATCAGTTTTCAGTTTCCAACGACTTTTAAACTTTGGAAATCGCCAAACTTTGGCGGCTGTTTTCTCGTTCATTTGACCTCTGAAACCAGGCGACCCCTACCTCCTTCAATTGCAAACATCTCGACTTCTATTCAAGATAAAAGGGTATTTTTTTCACCAAAAACAAGATAAATAAACAGGCTTAACGATGATACCAAAAACTCCCTATGCCCAAAAATTGAAGCGTGCCTGATTCCACCGCGTCGTGACATATGTTTCCTTAAGTGTTGCTGCAGCCAATTTAATCAGCTGTAATTTAAGTCGCTATTTCTATAAAATTATACCATTTAAAAAATATAGATACACATTTCAACTCCTCAAATGAGCTCTACTTTCTATTTATATTCTACTTACTGAAAATGTATAGATTTCTGGTCTGTACTTGCTTAGTTTACCTGTCTTCAAGCATTTTCCAGCTTAATATATAGTGAAATCTTAGAATTTCCCAGTACACAACAGGCTATTCATTAGCAACACTTGGTGGGTACAGAACAGCTATCAATAAATACACACCATGTTTATCCAGTTGCCATATGTGAGGTATCGAGGTAAAATCAGGCACTCGTCAAAAAAATGAAATGGAAGAAATCAGTGTTTTTCTGCTAGTTTGGAAATTTTCTTCGAATTTTTGTTTGTAGGCTCAACACCTTGTATGTCCATTCAAAAGTATGGATTTCATGGAAAAACGTCGATTAAAGGGACAAAAAAAAAGTAAATTTGGAGTTTCCAAGGACTCTTGTCCTATGGAAGTCACCAAACTTTGGCGGCCATTTTCTTGCTAATTATACATCTGAAACCAGGTAAACCCCACCTCCTTCATTCGCAAATATCTCGACTTCTATTCAAGATAAATGGATATTTTTTTGATCAAATGCAAGGCAAATGAACTACCTTTAAGGCAATACCAATAACTCCATTTACCCCAAAATTGATAAGCGCCTGATTCCACCGCGTCGTAACAAATTTGCTAGTGACACTTGGTGGGTAAAGAACAATCATCAAATACACGCCATGCTTAGTCAGTTGTCACAGATATCTAAATAAAACTCTCAGCTATTTGCTCATTCTGTTTCACCTTTGGTCGCGGTGGGGTCTGGCCTGATGAGGAGCCCATGCTGTGTGGAGGTCTATTCTGTGAGAAATGATGTCCTTGAGACTTATGGATGGCTGGTTCCGGTCTGTACTGGGGCCCGCTCTGCTGCTGCAACATTTTCTGAGCCAGTTCCTTATGCTTCCGCATCACCATATCTTCAGTAAAACCACCATCATTGTCATCATATCTGAAACCGGCATTTTCCAGTCCACTAGGGGAGCCACTGATATCTCCCAGAGGAGTGGTATCGTTGCCCCAATGTCCATGCACATCCAATTTGGTTTTGACAGAATACTCATTAAGGTCATACGAACCACCTCTGGAACGTTGACCATCTGCATCAGCGCAGTAGCCACTGTCAGCATTAGTGGAATGAGAGGAGCGGTCACTGTCCTGTTTTTTAAGATAGCCATCATAAGTCCTGACCTGTTGAAAGTGAGCTGGATCTGACCCATGAGGACGGCTGTACGGGGGGTTGTATGGGGGCGCGGTTGGTGAGAGGGGAGACGAGGGAGAATAAGCCCCTGATGATCCAGGTCTTGAAGGGTTCACAATCTGCACATTAGCGTCGAGGTGTCCATATTTGTCGACTTGAAGCGTTGAATATTGAGGGGGAGGAGGCGATGCCCCATGTTGGTAACGATCTTGCTGTGTAGAAACTGAACCCCTTGGGTGAGGGCTAGCATGAGGTTCGTTATAGTACATTTCATGCTCTGAATAAGCGTAATCCTCACGCTGACTGCTTTCATCTTGATACCGTCTTCTAGACTGAGACGGCATCTTTTCAGCGCCATCGTACATACCAAAGTCATGTTCTACTGCTGGTGGCTCACCCCCAACAGCTCCCAACTCTTCAGTAGGGTTCTGAGGAAGAGTTCGCCCATAACTAGGCTTGTCCCTGTCAGCGTTTGCTCCCTGCTGCCCTCGTTGCCGTTTCTTCTTTCTGAAGCTTTCATACAATCTTCCTGCTTGTTCGTAGCTGTAAGTGTGTTGCGGCACCTCATCTCCAATATTCTCCAGTGGGGACACAGAGTTTATTGTCCATGACGGTAGAACAGCCCGGATTTCATCTGGCAATATACAAGGCAAGAAGTCCCATAAAGACAACAAAATCAATGTAAAATCAATGTAAGACAAGATCTTATCAAGATACTTCCTGCCCAACCACCACAATATCTTAACCCAATGAACACTGACTTCCTGAACCCAAAATAACGGTAACCCATTCCTCGGCTTCCAGGGGAAAAAAATGCCAACACGACTACACAATCCATGAACTCCGCATGCCTTCTTTACGCAAACCAGCTCCCTTTTCCTTGAGCTGCCTTGACCTTTACAATAGTCACCACAATCCTACATCATTTTCCCCCTTCTTATCCTTGTACGGACTACTGTTCTACATAGACTAGCTAACACTGATATATTGCTGCTTCGGGGCAGGGGCAAATGACTTGCATACCTATATATATCAGTGTCATGGTTTCATTGGGTTAATTTTTTGGGGTCTCCCGTTTTTGACAGTGAAGTGTGTAACTTTTACACTATGGACACCGGTTGTATTTCTGATATTGTGGATACGAAAGTGAATCTGAATTAGACAACTGGATTAACAGCTTATCCAACTCTTAGATGACACAAAGAGATAACATCCAACAATAATAGATTTTTACCCTTTTTAAAAGCAGTTTTCATATATGTTTTTTTATTTTACCCTACCCTCAAAATAATTCAAAATAAAATATTTAGAAGTCAGATCAATGAAAACTCTTTGAGCACACAGTACAAAAATGGTGGATGTATCATTTTTTTAAGGAAACACATTTTGGTCAAAAGAGTGATTTTTGTCATTATCAGCCTGTAGCTCGAAACTGTCCGGGGCGAATTTTGGTACCTTTCTCTTGACGCACACATATATTCCATTTCATCTCATATCACAAGTAAAAAAGTAAAATTTACAACAGAATAATTAATATGGAAAATTGCTCTCCTGCATCTTTTACTTTCTCTAAGGGAATACACCTTCTAGAGTTAAGTTATAGAATCTTACCCTCTGTGACCGCTGACAAATGCGGTCTGGGTGGTATTTGATCCCCGACCTGACTCCACAGCATTTCATGCATGCCTATGTCATCAAACGTCCACGTCTGAGTCATGGTCTGAAATAATTAGGAAGCACTTTAGTTTTAGTAGAGGTTTTACGAAACTCGCAACTGCATAAGGCCATATGAGCGCCAGAAGATTAGAGGTGTTACAAGAGAGTAACAAACATAAAAAAGAAGTAGGGGAGATAAGGACGATAGATGTTTCATAGGAAAGAAAAAGCAAACCACACCAGAGCAACTGCCAACCACCCACTTAGAAAGCACTGATTGTAAGTATTTTTATCCTTCGTCTCTGTAATATAGATCACTTCGAAGGCAGGTGCTTTTACCCTGCCTGTTAGTGCCTACCCAGGCTACAAGGGATAGAGCATATCATTTCAAAAACATTTTTGGGGTAAGTGTTTTGCGGCGCTCGCAACTGCATAAGGTCATATGAGCGCGCAGGACACATTAAACATTTTCAGTTGGTAGAAAATTTTGAATTTTGTCCAGGTGGTGGCCGAAGCCTACTCTTATCGATTTTGGACCCCAAAGGGAACTTTAATCAGCCCAACTTGCACACGGGACCTCTGAGATTTTTCACCTTTATCCGAGAAGGCTAGGTGTAGATTTTACCTACCATAAGATCAGGGGTGTGGCTGAAAGACAGCAGTAAGAAGGAGCTAAGCAGTAGCAGTAGAAAGGCTGCAGAAAGAGTCAGGACCTCAGAAGAGGGGGTAAAGGAGGTGAGGGGGTGGGGGCAGAAAGTGGAGACGAAAGCAGACAACAGAATATACAGCATTGCAGAAAGACGAAAATATTGACTTGGTGAGACAAAACTTCACAAAGACGAAATCAAATTTATGTTTTTTTGCATGCAATGGAGAAGAGCCTTACTATTACCAAAGATAGTAAATAACAAGATGGGCCACTCAGCCAAAGTGTCCGCAGGAAGTATGCTCTTTGCTTCAGATGGCGCTGCAGTCTGTTTTGAAGCTCTCTTTCGTTTTTCCAGAAGAAGAATGGGAATAGCACCTCCTTGTGTGCGCAGATCGACTGCTGTTCATTAGCAGTTCGGGTTTGTTCAGTACGGAGTTTTAGTTTTTTATATTTTTTTTTTATGACCTCTCGCCTTTCATTTTAAAGTCAAATTAAACAAAGAAAACAATCACCCTTTCCTCCGGAAGAAGTTTTTTGTCAGCGTAACCATTTTAAAAAAAGCGTTCTTCCGAAATTCATTCAAAAACTTGCTAGTTTCACTTTGATTTTTTAAACTCAAGTAGGATAACTCTGTTCGCTAAATGTGCGCTTTTGCGAAGAGGGCGCCACTGAATTTTGAGGACACTTTTTTAATTGGCTCAAAGAGAGAAGTGGCCCCTCTTGTTATGTAGACTCTTTGCTATTACACCACAAATGCAGGCAATTATGACATACTGCCAAACACAACGTGAGAAGTAGTGACAGCCATGTAACATAACAGCTATTCTGTAGCTGGCTGTTCTCATAACAGCCTTCACTACAATCAAATACATTCATCATGTTAGTGTCAGCTTTATGTGTGTCTAGTTTGTTTCTTGAGCTGATTTTTTTCCCTCTCTTCTTGAGCCTGTACTTCTGCCTTCTACAAATAATTCCAACAAAATAGCATCCAAACATTTTGTAACTTCAAGAGACAAGAGCACAGCAAAACACAGGCTCTATGAAATTTTGGCTTTCACCAAAAGGCCTAATCTTTGGAGACCACCAGTGATACCTACCTTTAGTTCCATCAGACCAGGTGTCCTCCCAAGCTTTACGGCATAGCCATGGTGGCGAATGACCACATCACAGTACTCCCACTCTGCGTACCTCAGCGAGGCTAAACAAGCATCATATCCTGTCTCTGCTTCCCCGAGCTCCTTCTGTGCCAGATGCTCTTTGTAAACACGTTGTATCAAGTCCCCAAAGCAAAACTGAAACATGAACCAAAGGTCCAGTCAATGAAGGAAACAAAGTCTGGGACGGTATATGGGTAAATTGTCTCTTTCGGCACAGGAGGTCAGATCTGTTACGTTCTCAGACTTGCAACTGTAAGGTCGTGGGTTCTAATCCCATCAGGGGCCTGACGTTGTGTCCTTGGGAAAGGCACTTACACAAATTTTCCTCACTTCACCCAAGTAGAAATGAGTACCCAGCTATAGACAATGAAAGATCTTGTCAGTTTGTTAGTGTTTGAGCGCTTAATCAGCTCCTTGCACTGCATGCTTCCCGAGAACATGAGAAAGTTTCTGTGCGTTCTATGGTCTGAAAAGCGCATAGAGATTGCTGTCCGGCGGGGATATTTGCTATACAAATGCCATTTATCTATTAATATTTATTATTACCTAAGATTTAAATTTTATAATTAATAGACCAATAACAAATCCAACATACTTTGAGTCGTTGATATTTATTCTTGAAGGTTGGACCTGCATGCATGTGTACAAAATTAGGCTGAGCTCCATGTCCTGGCTGGGAGATGGCAACAGCAGAAGTAAAGACACAAGTTCAACAGTTCACCAACAGGCCACTCAAAAGTAAAGACACACGTTCAACAGTTCACCAACAGGCCACTCAAAAGTAAAAACACACGTTCAACAGTTCACCAACAGGCCACTCAAAAGTAAAGACACACGTTCAACAGTTCACCAACAGGCCACTCAAAAGTAAAAACACACGTTCAACAGTTCACCAACAGGCCACTCAAAAGTAAAGACACACGTTCAACAGTTCACCCACAGGCCACTCAAAAGTAAAGACACACGTTCAACAGTTCACCCACAGGCCACTCAAAAGTAAAGACACACGTTCAACAGTTCACCAACAGGCCACTCAAATGATTGTCAATGGTTCACATTATTATTTACTATTTACACAATTTACATCATTTATGGGGGCAAGCTCCTTTAATTTGCTTCAACCCTGTGTACCTGGGTCAATCCAAATAAAGTACAAAGTAGGATTCTAACACAAAGACGGAGTTAAGGTGAATATTAACCCTTTGAGCCCCGACCTCTTGACACTCTATTAAAATGAATCTCCCTGTATGGGACTCCGACTCACGTCTTCTGCACATAGACCAGTGTTCATCCCGTACATCGATAGTTTTGGTGAATATTAACCCTTTGAGCCCTGAGCTCCTGAGAGGCTACCGTGCCCCTCTGCCTGAGCTCCTGACCGATATATGTGAGGCGTGTGGACAAAATGATTTACTTCTTGCAATCCACAAAATCGATATATTGGCCAAAAATCTACACTTCGAGTCAAATTTGTAATTTAAAAAAAAATTGATGCAATATTCTTTAAGTATAATGTGCCTTTTATTATTATAAAAAACTTCACCTATTAGCGTGATGTATATATTTCCATAAGGCTCGAATCTGAGAAGTAGCTCATTTTGTCAGCACCTTTCACATATTACTCACATTCATGTGATCGTCAAAATCACATTCCATATTCCACTCAGGTTAGTCCTCATCATTACCAGCTACTAATGCAAAAAGATCTTCAAAATAATCAATAACATCCTGAGTAGTAAACACAGTTTCCCAAGCATGTTTTGTCCCGGGCGGGCCGGAATGGGATTGGGTCTCACTCACCGGTGTACCAGTGACTAGGCGTACAAGCTGTTTTACTCTCCACCAGTGAACTGGTGGTTAAGCATACTAGGCGTCGGTGGCCTAGTAAGGTCGTGGGTTCGAATCCCGCCAGGGACCCGACGTTGTGTCCTTGGGAAAGGCACATTACACGAATTTTCCTCACTTCACCAAGGTGGGAATGGGTACCCAACTATAGACAGCGAAAGATCTTGTCAGTTTGTTAGTGTTTGAACGCTTAATCAGCTGCTTGCACTGTATGCTTCCCTGGAAGCTTAGAATGTTTCGGAGTGTTCTATGATCTGCTGGGGTAATAATATAGTGCAAAGCGCAAAGAGCCTGCTGTTGAACGGAGATATGCACTATACAAATGCTATTTATTATTTATTATTATTATTATTACTTTACTCTCCACCAGTGAACTGGTGGCTAAGCATATGGGCTGTTTTACTCTCCCCTGCTGTACTGGTGACTAAGCATACAGGCAGTTTCACGCGCCACCGACCGTTGGCCAGGGCTCAAAGGGTTAACATGTAGCTAATGGTGATATAAGATATAAGCATAAGCTTCGCATACATCAGGGTTCTACTTTACCTTCACTTCAACCGACTGTCCTCTCTCAATTCCTGCTTTAGCACAGTCCAAGCCCATCTGCAGCCGGCTCAAAATCTTTGGATGAGTTTGGTTGATCATGACGACCCAAGATTCTGAAATAAATAAATTCAACGTTTGCAGATGATTCTGCAGCTCATGATGATTCATTTGCACATCACATATGATAATTAGGATGTCTTAGGATGTCTGCTCTTAACCAAAAGGTCATGGGTTTGAAACCCATCCGGGGCTAGACATTACAACTTAAGGAGAGGCACTTCAAGGGAATTTTTCTCAATTCACCCGCGTGGGAAAGGGTACCCGGCCATAGACAGCAAAATATCTAGTCAGAATGTTTAGGGTTTTAATGCAAACTCTAAAGCATAATGGAGCTTGTTGTTGAGTAGGAATTAATGCTGTACAAATGTCATTACCTATTCTCATTATAATAATAACCCATTATTCAAAGTATTGTGAAAGGAAAAATGAATCTAAAAGAGTATTGTTGAAAAATTGTTCAATGAATCTAGACAGAAGACCAGATAAACACAGCAAAGAAGCCTTTATGCAGTCTCTTTATTTTTATAATGACAACAAATATAGGTAACAAAATATTTTCATTAGTTTAATTCAGAACTATTTTTAACACCAAGAAACCAATAATGTGAGCACTGACCAGTAATCTCTGGAACACTTACCATCAGTGTAACAGCATCCACAGCTGTCAAATAGGCCTCGGCCAAAATGAAGAACTGGTTGAATCACGAGTGGCCGCTTCAGCATTTCTTGTCGGAATTCATGAATTTCATGTTTGCGTTCAAAGCAGTAGACTCTAAAGAAAAAGAAAAACAATAATTGAAAGACTCGTGCAACTCTAAAGTGTAAGCTTGTTTAATTAGAGATAAAAACTCATGAAAAACTCAAGAAAGCATGCCTTCCAAACTGTCAGTTCCTTCATAAGCATCTTGAACACTAAATTCTCGTGATCTTTTCGGTGAACGGTATTGGAGCAGAAGAGTCATAGCTTTGTTAAAAACCCACAGCCTTCCATTAAATAACAATCTCTATCGGTGGAAATTAACTAATTTGCCTTTATGTGAGAGGTGAGTGTAACTCTCATGAAATTGAAGATGAATTTCGCTTTACTTTCTATTGCTCACACTTTGTCCATCAAAAGGAAATTGTTAATCCCTCCCAGCCTGACTCAGCCCAGTGACAGAAATATGCAATGTTTGACTCATGATAAGAGATATGTGCACAACCTGTACTTATTCATTATGGAAACTTTACTTATCAAATGAGTGTTTTGTGTGATGTGCTGTGGGCCAATGGCCTTAAACACTGAATAAACTTACTTACTTACTTACTTGAACAATAAATGAACATTTCTGAGATTATCTATTACGTTCTGTTTAGTAAGAAAATAAAAATGATTCAGCAACAAGCTGGAAATATAATATTATTATCATGTCATAAATGTTGCTGTGTTGCAGGTATCTTTCATTCTAAAGTCCTCTCTACATGACAGAAAGATTTTTCAGTCCAGGTACCGTGTTCAATGCCAGTCTCGTAGTGGCATGATGACAATGAGGCATAGGAAGAGATAATGAAAGTGAAAGCCTCACGGTGTTATGACTTCCACTAAGTTCCACCCCTGCTAGCTGTGTATATTTTCTTTTCCTACATCAGTGCAAGCGCTTGTCAATGTACAAGCATGAGTGCACTTAGAAAAATGTGTGTGCATAATGTGTGGCTGCACGTGTGTATTGCTACCAGCCTGTAAACAATTCAAAATTCCACTTTCTAGAATAACCACTGTTACCCTAATAGTAAATTTAAGGTAGAGAAGTTTAAATAATTTTAAGTTTTACTTTTTTAGGTTGGATATTTGATGTTGCTCAGGCTCACATATATGGCATGGCGATGACAAGAAGAACCTACCTTCTGAAAGGAACAACATTGACAAGTCTGTCGGTCGACTGAACCCCAGCTCCATCTGGTGCTGGGCGAACTAGACGGAATAGAACATTGTTGTCTCTGTAGACCTCCTCTTGGCTGGCTATCACCAGGGCAAGGGGGAAGTCTTCCATTGTCTACCCTGAAAGAAAAACAAATTACAACAACAAAATTAGTTTTTTAGTTTTAGTAGAGGTTTTACAGCGCTCGCAACTGCACAAGGTCATATGAGCACCAGAAGACTAGGTGTTACAAGAGAGTAGCAAACATAAAAAAGAAGAAGGGGAGATAAGGACGACAGATGTTAGATAGGAAAGAACAAAAAATTACCCCCAAAAAATAGTTATGTGACTTTGACAAGTTTAAGTAATAACTTATTTTAGCTTTAGTAAGTGTTTTACGGCACTTGCAACACAAAAAGGTCATATAGTGCTGAAGATTAGAGGTGTTACAAGAAAGTAAAAAACACAAAATCAAAGCATGAGGGGGGCTCTTATGGCTTGGAGGTTAAGGTATTGGCCTCTCATTCAAAGATCTTGGTTTCGAATCCTGGTAGCGCCCGAAAAATTTTCTTCTCTAAGTTCCTAAGATTGTCTCATTTCACCTATTTTTTTGCTCTCTAGCAATGTTCTGTCGTCTGCTTTCGCCACAGTCTCCTCTTTCTGCCCCCACTCCCTCACCTCCTTCGTCCCCTCCTCTGGGCTCCTGACTCTTTCTGCAGCCTTTCTACTGCTACCCCTTGGCTCCTTCTTACTGCTACGTCTTTCAGCCACACCCCTTATCTTCTGGTAGGAAAGATCTACACTAGCCTTCTCAGACAAGGGCGAAAAATCTTGGAGGTCCCATGTGCAAGTTGCGGTCTAAAATCGATAAGAGTAGGCTTCTGCCGTCACCCAGGCAAAATTCAAAATTTCCTATAAACTGAAAATGTTTAATGTCCTGCGCACTCATATGACCTTAAGCAGTTGTGAGCTCCGTAAAACCCTTACCAAAAAAAAAAAAGAAATGAGTAGGTAGTAGTTCGCATGGGTAGTTCGTCCATATGTTCCCTTCCTCCGCCGGGGCCAGCGATGAGCGTGATGGTGATGAGGAGCAGTAGCGGGGTAGACTGGAAGTCTGTACTGGTCAAAGTTGAAATGAAAAATGGGGTGCTCCATGATATGTGTGTGTGTGTATGAGTGTGTTCACATGTCGAGCACGCTAAAAATAGCACAGGCAGCTGCTTCTGTGGAGGGGGAAGGTGGTATTTTACCAATTTTACCAACTTTGCCTTTTTGGGGGGTTTTTTTGGTGTTTTATGGCACTCGCAACTGCATAAGGTCATATGAGGGCGCGGGATACACCAAACATTTTCAATTGGTAGGAAATTTTGAATTTTGCCCGGGTGGCGGCCGAAGCCTACTCTTATCGATTTGGGACTACAAAGGGGTCTTTAACGTGCGTAACTTGCACAAGGGACCTCTGAGATTTTTCGCCCTTGTCCGAGAAGGCTAGGTGTAGATCTTTCCTACCAGAAGATCAGGGGTGTGGCTGAAAGACAGCAGTAAGAAGGAGCCAAGGAGTAGTAATTGAAATGCTGCAGAAGGAGTCAGGAGCCCAGTGGAGGGGGCAAAGAGGGTGAGGGGGTGGGGGCAGAAAGTGGAGACCAAAGCAGACGACAGAATATTGCAAAAGAGAAGGAAAGAAGGTGAAAGGAGACAATTTAGTGAAGAAAATGTTTCCGTCGCTACCCGGATTCAAACCCGGGACCTTTGAATGAGAGGCGAACACCTTAACCTCTAGGCCACGAGAGCCCTTGCCTTTTTTAATTAAAACAAAAAAATTATTAATAAATAATAATAACTATTTTTTCTCAAATTCAAATGCACATCAAAGTACATTGACTAAAGACCTCTACGGCGGCATAATTAGTTTGACAATTCTGTGTTTGAGTTTGACCTTTGCGTAATTTTCTTATAAAAAGAAAAGGAAGAAAGAAAAAAATGGGACTGCAGGCACTGTTCTGGAAGTCTTATAACTGGAATTTTTGCTGACGTCCACCATCATTATGGCACAAATTCTACATTTAGATCCAGACCCAGACTAGTTTTTCTAAAATCAGCAGAATACAACCGATTATTCATATAAACAGCATAATTTCAATCAACAACAACAAAAAAGTAAGAGAATTTTCTAAGTTTCGAATAGTTATAGACAAAAGACAAAGGCGATATCAAGTTTATGTCAAGAAAATATCAATAATTATGGCGTTTCTGAATGAATAGACAACTGACATTAACGAACGGCTATCAAAACGTTTTCAAAGGGGCTCCTAAATCATAGGTGACACACCGCTACCGCTGTGCCATGGCGTCGACAATATTATTCAAAACACGGAAGTTGGAAGCGAATGCTCTCCGATAAGAGTCGACTCACCTGTATAGAGCAGGGATCGAAGGAATTTCAATCAACTGGTCCTAGAATTCCTAAATTTAATGAGAACCTTGTATTTTCCTCCGTGTTATTTCAATTTGAACAGTAATTAAGAGCCTGAAAATACCGAGTTCACATCGTAAGAGAAAAAGGTAGTCTTAGTTAGAACACGCAGGCGCCTGGGACCCGCCATTTTTGCTGTGGCTGTGAGACAACGGTGACAGGTGACTGCAAGCATACGACTTCCCCTATGTCTGGAGAAAATAGGTCAAGTCAGGTGTGCCATAGCCTACAAAAGAGTAGGCTCTACTATCTTTGGCCATACGTCACACACTGACGTACAGGGCGTCCAGACGATCGTCTGGCCTAAACAATAGTCTGTCAATACAAAACATTTCAGTTTGAAAACGCGATTGATTTAAACATACGTTTAAGACGTTTTAGTAGATCTACTCCGCCGGGTGACATATTTGGTGCTTTGAAAATGGTGTGAGGCAAGGTTTTATATAATAATAAAATTAATATTATATAGATCTAGAATCTAGATCTAAATCTATGTATCATCTTTCTTTCTTTTTTTTTTCTGTTCTGTTTTATTTATTTTAAGAATAAGCCTATTATATCTATCATTACGTGCGCTCCATAAATGTGATCTCAATTCTGTTACTTCCCAAAAGGAATTGCTTTCCTCTGTTTGACAAGACGTATTAAGTTTTAAGGCCTATATTTATATAGGCTAATAATGCATACATGAATATTATTGTATAATTTGTATTATCATGTTTTGTTTAAACATTTTGGTTTACCCGCGCTTAAACTGCGCTCGTGTCTTGTGTGTGTGTGTGTGTGTGTGTGTGTGTGTGTGTGTGTGTGCCT